AACTTTATTTATTGACGGGATCCTAGGACAGAAGTTTTCAATGAAAAAAAAGTGTCGCATTACGATTCGAAACATATATGAGTTGACTCAGTTTTTAGTGGAGATTCCAAATGTGTAAAAAATCAGTAGGCTTCCATGCAAGTTTTGAGAAATCCAATCTAACTTTTCAAAGATCCTGTGATAACCTGACTTCGAGATTGTTACTCAGAAAAGTTTTTCATAGTGAAAAGATGCCTCTTCGCCTTGGCTGTCGAACCCCGAAAACCGCAGGTCTGTGTCTTGTTCCTACCAAAAATGATTCAAAAAATAGTCACACGCACGGACTTTTTGGATGGACATTAGATCGACTCTACTGTTTTTTTTTTGCATTCTCTTCTAGTTCACTTTTTCATTGCGAGCTATATTCCTGTGCTAATTCTAGCGGGAGGGTGTGGGTTATGCATGTAGGATATGGGTGTGAGAAAAAGAAAACCAAGATCTAGACCCACCCCCACATCCACACCAAAGCCCATACACCACACGCAATTTCAAAGTGAAAGTATGATATGTTCGTAACCATAATTTCATTGTCAAGAAGAAAAAAAACTGGAAGCAGTGGGGACTATTTTCAAATTTTTGTAGGATTTTAAAATAAATCTTAATAGAAATGAATTCATACCTATGTTAGAAGCTTCAGGTGTCGCATCGTAATACTGTTTTGATAATAGATGTTTTAATTCGCTAAATGTTGGGCGATCGTTGGGTAATTTTGACCAAGTTTTACAAATAATCGACCAATATGGCTCACTACAGTTAGATGGCTTTTGAAGTAATTCATCATTGGTGACGCGTCGAATAACCTCATTATCGTTTTCAATTTTCGACCAAGGTAGAGCACCTCGAGAATAAGCTTCCCACATTAGAACACCCATCGAATAAATATCAGATTTCTCCGTATATACATCTGGTGTGATATTAATGGCAAGTATTTCCGGTGCAGCATATCGTACCGGGACGATATTTAAGGTTGTTTTTGCAGCACCTGGCATCAATGAATACAACTTACTATGTCGACTAAGACCAAAATCAGTTACTTTAACAATAATATTTCTGGGATTACTTTCATCGAAACGAAATACGAGTATATTACGACATGCTAAGTCACCATGAACAACATTATTATGTGCTAGAAAACTCATCGCATCAACGATTTGTAAAAATATCTCTATCAAAATTTTTTCATCTGGCACTTTTTTCCGTTCTTGCAATAATTCATAGAGACTGCCCATATGTGCATATTCTTGTAGTAACATAATAGCATTGTTATCATCATTATCACCATCATCATTACGCTCATACACAAGACCATATGTTCTAACTATATGTGGATGACGACTGAGATCCACATAAAAAGATGCTTCTTTCTTTGCACGAGCACCATCGATTTTTAATAGTATTATTTCTGGACGATTATCATTCGTTGGCAACCATAGTGCATGATAAATAGTTTTGCCATATGTTTGAAAAAGTGGTCGACCCGATTTCTTTTTCACATCAATATCAAGCGTATATTGATAGTTTTTTTTCCTTGATGATGCTTCAAAATGATCAACGGCCTTTTTGATTGCATAATTGGGATACAAACGTTCAAGTGATAAATGTTTAACAGTGATTGGACTGGTACCATTCCTTTTAATCCATTCTATAATGGCTTGCCTCTCATATGTATGACCGTCTTCTGCTAGGACTGGATCACTAAATAATTCTAGCGTTATTGGACACAATAATGAATCGTCTGGTAGATTCATATCTTGAAAAAAAACTATTCTAAACTTCAATGTTGTATCAAATCATGACAAAAAATGGAAGTGCATGGATCATATAGCTACATTTCATAGATGAAAAGCTTGTTAGCGCAACCCCTTTGAGACCGAAATTACATATTGAATCAATACTAATAACTTTGTTATAAACGTTTTTATGTAGCTTTGTTTTCTGTACAAATTCAATATATTATCTTAGGCAGAGTCGCTTATCTTCTTATTCTGTAAAATTTCGTCCCTTAATGTCTGTAATGGAAGAGGAGGTGTCTGTAACGGGACTATGGGCTGGATGCTAACGTCTGTAATGGGGCCATACACTAGTTGCTAGTGTTTGTAATAGCTAGATACTATTTTTTTTGTATTATTCCGACCGAAAATAATGAAAGAAGTATTAGTCTAATTAGTAATTAGCATAATCTATAATCAACGTCATGTCTAATTAACGACCCACGATAAATAATTACTGTCTATAATGAGGAGCGGGATATGAAGTACCAAAAAATTCTCTTTAAGCTTACACCCACTATTTTCTTCGACAATATGTTTCAGTTCCACAAAACAATCTACGCTATTTGATGACCTGCACTAAGTAGTGTTGATCATTCAGACTGAATCGGACTGATTGATCGTCAGTATCAGCTCCAAATATCATCATTGATTTATATGGAATCAAAAATAGAGATTGAAATTCTCACTGATGAAATTTTCTCTTTGATTACACTAGATTACAAGGGAATTGACTTTTAACTGTACAATCAATTCAACGAAATTCTTCTCTTAACGAGCTTAGATTCTACATTTTACAGTTGCTTTTAAAGAAATAAAAATATGACTGCTTACATGGGACGTAGAACAGTCCCCGTTTTTTTTTGTAAGGCTTCATTTTTCTGTACACTCTTCCGATCCTGGTCTCCTTGGAACAGTCCTGAATACAGACATGCAACTATTGATTACAAAATTTTTACTCACGGAAGAATAATTTGTGTATCATTCTTTATATTATTGTAGAAAGGAATCCAAACACAAAATTATTTCTATTTGTCTTCAAGTGGTCGATGTTGTTTCTCTTTTTGTTATGATTGCACGCATGTCGCGGTATGTAAACAGAATAGCAGACACAGCTTAAGAAGAAGAAAGTCATGCGTTATTTTTATTAAAGCGAAAAAGTTTTTGCAAAAGTAACTTTTATTACGGAGACCAGATCGTAGGTTTGAGTGTAGCTTTTATGTTCAGCGACACGTACCTCGACACAGAACTGTCCCAGTAACTTGAATCATTCAGTTCATAAGAGCAATACTTGACCAAAGAAGAACATCAGCTAGATTTATAGGTAACTTCATTCAAAATCAGATAAGGGATTCATTGCATCAAATGATATATTTCAATTTTGAGTGCAGTCATCGTTGAAGAGAAATTTACCAAGTAAATCCCACTTTCTAACTTCGCTGACTCCTATGGTGCTTTTTTTATTGACACTCAATCATAAACTGCATCTGGTTTCAGTTGAAAGTAGGGTTGTAAACAAGAAAAGAAACAAAAAAAAATAAAGAATCCAATAACGTCATTCATTGTATTATTATTCTGTATTTTTGTTTGTCCTTCTCAGTGATTTTTTTTCTTCAGGTAAGTACGAAAAAAGTCTTTGTTAGTTTAACGGTTCGCTTTCTGCTTGTGTTTAACGTAAAGGTAATATCAATAAAACGGCAACAAACGAAACCTGCAAATTCAATTGTGAATGACATGATGATCGATAAAAAAAACATTTCTTATGGCCAAACTGTAGAGCAACAAGTTCAGCAGGGAATGAAGTTAAGAATAAATAGCTCTACACGTCATGTTTCACCAACAAACATATATATGATGTACCATGGTTGCCAAATCAGGTATTCATGCATCCATTTTTTTTTATTGTTACCGCGGATGTCGGTAAGGGTGACACTTCGAGAGAACTTTTATTCTTATTCTCATTAAAGTTGTTCATCGTTAAAGTATTAGGTATGAATCAAAAGCTTTGATTTTGGAAGTAAATCTTTGAAAAAATCTTAATAGAAATGTTCAGAGTAAAAGAAAAAAATTGTTCTGAATTTTCTCAAAAACAAACAAAAGTAAAGTTTTCTTGAAAAAAATAAGATTTCAATCATTACATTTTCCGTTAGACATCTATCATTAATCAATTTTTTTTCTGACAAAGATGATGGTATGTTCACAATGGCTTAGTTTTCAGGTTTGAAGAAAGAAACCCATTCATGTATCAATGATTGCCACGAGATTTTCGACTACTATTTCACTTTACAGAGGATAAACTCGCACTTGAGGGTGTGGGTGAGTGTGGGTGTGAGTGTGGATGGGGTGTGGGTGTGAGTGTGGGGTGAGTGCGGGGTGTGGGTGTGGGTGTCGGCGTGGATGTGGGTGGGATGTGGGTGCGGATTGGAAAGAAGATACCAACACCCACACCCGCGCCCACCTCACACCTACCCACACCCATACCCCACCCACACTGTAAAAAAAATTCGTAGAATAATAAACCCAAAAAGGGTTGATGAAAGTGCAACGTATAATAAACCCTTTTTACCGTATGTAAAATTTTCCTAAACCCTTAAAAAGGGTTTAATAAAGGGTCTAGGAAATTCATAAACCCTTTCATATACCCTTTCAAAGGGTTTTGGAAAGGGTTTAGGAAGTTCATAAACCCTTTAAGGGTTTATTATAGGTTGCACTTTCAACAACCCTTTTAAGGGTTTAGGAAAATCATAAACCCTTTCATATACCCTTTCAAAGGGTTTAGGAAATTCATAAACCCTTACATAAACCCACAAAATGGTTTATGACAGTCACCAAGTACGGATGGAGCTGAGCAAAGGGTTTAGGAAACGCTCATAAACCCATATAGGGGTTTAGCCAAGGATTTAGGACACACTCATAAACCCATATAAGGGTTTAGAAAACACTCATAAACCCACATAAGGGTTTAGGAAACACACATAAACCGACCCAAGCGTTTCGCAAAGGGTTTAGAAAATGCTCATATACCCATGCAAGGGTTTCGGAAAGAGTGTATAAAACACACTCACACTCGAGACTAATTTCGAGGCACACCATTTCAACCTGTTACTCTTTTCCCTAGCATAACAATAAAGAATTTTAGGAAACAGCGATACCAAAGTTCACAACTGTACATGTTCTTCTAAGCAAAAAACAAATTCTAAGTAGTTTGAATGATACTCCACAATAAAGTTTAGACTGCCAAATGAGATATTTTTTTTTATTTGACAATTTAAAATTTATTGTGGAGTATCATTCGAACTACTTACAATTTTTTTTGCTTAGAAGAATGTGTACAGTTGTGAACTTTGGTATCGCCGTTTCCTAAAATTCTTTGTTGTTATGCGAGAGGAAAGAGTAACAGGTTGAAATGGTGTGCCTCAAGATTAGTCCCCAGCGTTACTTATGATTGTGTTTGTCGCGATAGACCTAAACAAAAAAAATAAATTTATATAAATAATACTTACATTTCGTTATGAACTTAGTATTGTACTAAATAAAGAAAAACAAATATATACATATAAATAAATACTTACTTTGTATTTCTTTGTTCTAACTGATCTGAATAGAAAAAGATAATAATACATATAAATAATACTTACATATTATTTTGAACTCCATACTAACCTAAATAAAAAAAGAAATATATACATAAGAAACTAATACTTACTTTTGTTTCCATTGTTGCGATTGGTCTAAATAAAAAAGATTTTTTAAAATAATACTTACATATTATTTTGAATTTCATATTGAACTAAATAATATTTAAAAAAAATATATATAAGTAAATAATACTTACTTCTTTTGATTTCTTGTTGCAATCGATCTGAACAGAAAAAGATAATTATTAATGTAAATGATACTTACATATCATTTTGAACTTCATATTGCACTAGATAAAGAATAACAAATATATACATATACATAAATACTTACTTGGGATTTCCTTGTTCTAATGGACCTAAATAGAAAAAGATAATAATATATATAAATAATACTTACATTTTATTTTTGAATTTCATACTAACTTAAATAAAAAAAGAAACATATAAAAAAATAATACTTACTTTTGTTTCAGTTGTTGTTGCGATTGGTCTAAATACAAAAGAAGATTTTTTTTGTAAATAATACTTACATATATTTTGAATTTCATATTGAACTAAGTAAATTAAAAAAAATATATATAAGTAAATAATATTTGCTGTTGATTTATGCTGCGGTTGATCTAAATGGAAAAAAAGATTTATATAAATAATACTTACATGTTATTTTAAACTCCACATTAACCTAAATCAAAAAAAGAACATATATAAGTAAACAATACTTACTTTTGATTTCTTGTTGTAGTTGATTTAAACAGAAAAATATAGTTATTAATGCAGATAATATTTGCATTTTATTTTGAACGTCATATTAAACTAAATAAAACAGAAAGAACAATATATAAGTATATAATACTTACTTTTGACTTCGTTGTTACAATTGATCTAAATGAAAAAAAACGATTTATATAAATAATAGTTATATTTTATTTTGAACTTCATTTTGAACTAGAAAAATATAAGTATATGTATACTTATGTATAAATGTTACCTATATTTCATTTCATTGTCGAGATTAACTTAGCCAAGAAAGACAAATTTATAAAAATAATACTTAACTTCATTATACTGTTTTTATGTATATAAAAAGTATGTTTTATCTTGTTTTCGAGGTTCACCTGAGTACAAAAAGAAAAACTATTAATGTAAACAATACTTACAATTCATCTTGTTGTGGAAAGTAGTTTAAATAAAAAAATTTTAAAAAGTGTCTGAATGATCGTACTTACATTTCATTTTGGTGTCGAAATTGATCTACAGTATGACAAAAAATGATTCAGGATACCTCACTACATCTATCTTGTGAAGCAAATTTCTCAATGTAGAAAATATTTTTTTTGACTCTGATTACATCATTCGATACGTCATCATCTCTACTTTCTTTTGCATAGAAATTTTTCTTTTCTCAGGGTATTTTTCACAAAATTCTAGAAAGTTTTCTCAGAAGACGTCGATATTACAAGTAAAGGAAGTTATTCGGACACTTGCATTTTTTTCTTTATTACAGGTCTATTTTGTATCGAAACATTTTGAATTGCATATCATTTGATAGAGAAAACATTTCTTTACACAGTGATATGTATAAAGATTGAAAAAGATGCTAAGAACGTACCGAAAGATCCTCAATACCAGAACCACCATGGGTTTTGAAGAAAGCTCTCGTTTTCCGGCTTCAGAGAAATGAAAACTAAACTCAAAATATATCATTTGAAAGAGAAAAACATGTTGAATCCAACCACATCTTTGGTTTTACGAAATTCGCAAATATTATTTGTAAGAGTCAGTAATTAAAATTAATATTCATTATAGCTTGTCCAATATTCTCAAGTTTTGGGCAACTCAATCGCACTAAAAAATCTTTTGAAATACACAGGCTTATAGAAAATTAAATTCTCTACAAGATAATATGCTTGGATATACAGTAGCTATCTTTCTTAGACACGATTAGTACCTATTTATTCATGCACATTGTATTGCGAGAATAAAACCAATATTTTTTCCTTTCTGGTGCTTTTTCTATATAACATATGCGATGACGTCGATGAAAGAGTTCAAGAAAATGCATTTAAACAGATAGGTGTTAATTGTGTCTAAGGAAAATAGCTACTGTGCATTCAAGTACATCATCTTGTAGAGAATTTAATTCTCTACAAGTCTGGACTATTGAAAAACTTTCTAAATAAAATTTAGTTACCTGAAAATTGAGACTATTAGGCGCAGTGTATCAAATATTAATCATAATTAGCGATTATGACAAGTAACATTTAAAAATGTCAAAAAAAAGATGTGGTTGGATTCAGCGTGTCCTGCCCTTTCAAATCATATATTTTGACTTATGTTTCCATTTTCCTGAAGCTGAAAACCCAAGGTTTTCTGTAAAATCTATGGTGCTTCCGGTATTCAAGAATGTTCGCCATTGTCTTAACTTCTTTTTCAACTTTTGATCATATCAACGTCTAGAGAAATGTTTTCTCTATCAAATGATACATAATTCAAAATGTTTCAATACAAAATAGAGCTGTAATAAAGAAAAAAATGCAAGTGTCCGAAGAATTTCTTTGCTGTTGGACGCGATCATTTCTCAGAGAACCCTGTAAAACTTTTCGAAGACCATATAGAGAAAAAACTATTTCGGTGCGGAAGTAAAGACGATAACCTATCCAATGATGTAATCAGAGTCAAAAAAATATGTTTTCTTCATTGAGAAATTTGCTCCACAAGATAGATATAGACGACCGTCCGAATAATTTTTGTCCGTGGGTGGATATGGGGTGGATTTGGGTGTAAGTGTTAGTGGGTGTGAGTGTGAGTGAGTGAGTGTTAATTTTCTTTTCATCACCCACACTCAGCTCTACGCCCATTCACATCCACACCCACACCCATCTTGATAGTCATCATCTGTATTATAATCAACTGTGATCGACTTTTTCTTTCGGTTATGACTTCGCGAAAATATAATGAAACACTATTTTTACAGAAAGGTAGAACAATAAACCCTTGACCATAGAATAATAAACCCTTTTTATGAAAAAGTAGAACAATAAACCCTTTTCATGAAAGGGTAGAATAATAAACCATTTGCCGTAGAATAATAAACCATTTTCATAAAAGGGTAGAATAATAAACCCTTTTCATCAAAAAAGCAGAACAATAAACCATTTTCATAGTAGGGTAGAACAATAAACCCTTTGCCGTAGAATAATAAACCATTTTTATGAAAGGGTAGAACAATAAACCCTTTGCCGTAGAATGATAAACCCTTTTCATGGAAAAGTGGAACAATAAACGCTTTGCCGTAGAATAATAAACCCTTTTCATGAAAGGGTAGAACAATTGATCCTTGGCCGTAGAATAATAAACGCTTTTCATGAAAAGGTAGAATAATAAACCCTTTTTGCGCTAGTCATAAATCCTTTTTATTTTTAAATACCCTTTTTCTCAGAAACCTTTTTGCACAAAAACCCTTTAAGGGTTTAATACACTAGCATAAACCCTTTAAGGGTTTAGGAAAATTTTCCTAAAGTGCTAGGGTTTATTATTCTACGAATTTTTTTTACAGTGCACACCCCACCCACACCCCACCCACACCCACACCCACACCCACACCCACACCCACACCCACACCCTGCAGAGTTAAATGGCCGTGGCCATTTTTTGAATAACTTTTGATCGGCTAAGACTATCGAGCTCTGGGTTGCGTAGTTGGAAAGAGTGGACTCCAATGCATCTTTCTATATAACTCATTTGAGTCCATAGACGCTTTGTTTACCACTGTTTGTATGCCGGTATATTGTTTTTGTTTTTTTGCAACGAGTTTTTTTGACATTCTAATTTTCATTATGCCAAATAATAGCCGGAATTCCATTGTATATATGGTAAAATTTTGGCATCTTCATATCACCTTTTTGATCTCTTTTCTTCAACAAGGTCACTTTGATGTATGGTAATTTTGCCGTTTATACAGCGGAGTCCCAGCTACGATTTGGTATAGTGGGAATTAGAATGTCAAAACAACACGTTGCAAAAAAAACAATATGCCGGCATACAAACAGTGGTAAAAAAGCGTCTATGGAATCAAATGAGTTATATAGAAAGATGCATTGGAGTCCACTCTTTCCAACTACGCAACCCCGAGCTCGATAGTCTTAGCCGATCAAAAGTTATTCAAAAAATGGCCACGGCCATTTAACTCTGAAATGGACAATAATCTTAACATTATAAGTCAAGACTGTGCTATTTAGAAAACTTGCAAAAATAATTCCAAAAATAATTTTCCTTTACATTCAACTCATACGGGAGCATTGTATTACTTTCATTGTAGTAGTGACAGTGATTGGATACTTAGTACAATACTGAGTGATTTTCTCGATGCAAAAAGTTAAATGAATAAAAAATAAAACCGTGTAGTATGATGGCTAAAAATCAGATGAAAACTGATTTTCTCTAGAAAACTCACGAAAATCGATTACTAGGCATGTATTGAGCTCGAATCTTTCTGTATCGATAGCTTTAGTCTCGGTCTCGATCATACGCAGTTGCTTTATTAATGTCGGATTTAAGATCTGGAACTCCATGTGAATATCAGAATGCTCTCTTATAAATTTCCTTTCAAAGAATTTCATTTCTCCATTGTTTTTCAACCGTCCATTTAACCAGATTTTACGTATGATACTTTCAGGTGATCAGGTTTCTTCATACTTTTTTCAGTCCTAATCTATTTTGAGATTAGGTATGTCACATTAGCAACATTCATAAAAGTTAGGATTTACGGTATTGCTTTAATCAGAAGATTTTTTTTGAAAAACTAACGATGTTTTATAAAACTTGACTAAAGATCTTTGAGGTCAGAAAACTCAATGAGACCTTCATTTTTCGAAAATTTTCAAAAACGGATTGGTTCCAATCGATTTCTTCACCTCGAGAATCTTTATTCAAGTTTTATAAGAAAAACATTAATACTTATTTGTGCTGAACGCACTAAATTACTAAGACTGCTAGTATTATACACGTTGTATTTCTCCTTCGAAAACATATGCTTCGTTTTTAGTTTCTATGATACACATATGTGAGAATGAAGCAGTTGATTTATTGCTTTGTTCGTATTGTGATAATAATATTGTAATCGTGCGATGCAAAAGAATACAAAATAAAAAGAAAATAATACCATAAAACGAAGAAAAAAGAGTAGAGAAGTGTGAAGGCCAATATAAAACATGTGCGTCATTTATAGTTTTTAATGAAGAAATATTGTTATGATAGGAGAAAAGACACGTTGAGTGGTAATGGTAATTATAAATGTGATCTCATGCCAGAAAAGTTCGCATATATCGAAGAGTATCTTCAATTGATTTCTTATTCCTAAATAATCATTTCATAGATTAAAATTGGGTTAGAGTGGATAGATATAAAAAATATTTGCTTCTCTCATTGACAATTTTTCTTTCGAAATGGTTCAGGGTGGGAGTAGAATAAGTTCAAAATTTCAAGTTCTATTGACTAGTAAAAGTCCCATGTAAAACGTTGCTCAGAATGACTCAGAGCGTATTTCAGTGATACCCTTTTTTTGGAACTTATTTATTGAATCTTCACGATTTTTATGAACTGAAAAAAATAAACTGATTAGAGGTTATTTTAACCAATGATTTGATATTATTCTAGCGAACAGAAGAATATACAATGCATCAGATTTGTCTTTATTTTTTTAATCTAATTCGCGTTTATCAAGATCATCTTTATCAAAAAAAATGAAGAAAACAGTACAAATATATACAAAGTTTTTGTTTCCCTATAATATGTTGACATCTCTAGTTGTCGTCATCAGTGTCATCACTATCAATTGCCTGGAATTCAGATGGTTCCTGACGTGCTTTTATCTTTTTATTCCGATTTTTGTCTACAACTGATGGAGATCGGAGTGATTGCTGACGTATGGTTTTCTTGTTATCACTATTCTCATTTTCAATTGATCGAGATTTGACAGATTTAAGAGGCTGACAAAGTTTTTCATCAATGTTTTCATTTTCAGTTGATCGAGATTTGACAGATTTTAAATGTCGATTGATTTTCTCATCACTATTTTCATTTTTAATTGATCGAGATCGGACAGATTTTTGACGTTGATAGGTTTTCTCATCACTATTTTCAAATTCATGTGATTGAGATTTGAAAGATTTTAGATGCCGATTGATTTTCGGATCATAGTCTTCCTCTTCATCAGAAGATTCGAATGATTGTTCAGCATTTTTATAAAGAATATTTTGTTTCCATTGGTCGAGATCTTTTTTAGGATTACAACGTGCTAATGCTTCCTTAAATTCACTGGGAAATATATTAAATGAGTTAACAAAATCAGTAAATTGTTTTTTCATTGATACAGTTAGTCTGATTTCAGCTTTTGTATTTTGTTCAATAATATTGGCTACTTCCCGATGAAATATTGCCACTTCATTTTTAAATGAATTGTCTTTATCGTCGATTGATCTTGATACGCCATTTAATTTTTCATTTAGCTTGGTTTGATGTGTTTGGAAAATTTTTTTTCTTAATGTGTTACGCCATGAACCAGTTCTTTGTTGGCTTATTTGAGTTCGAAGTTTATTTTTTTGCTTTTTCAGATCAGTTATTTCTTCGGATAGTCTATTAACAGTAGATCGCATTTGTTCGATTTTATTTCTTAGTAATTGATGATTCTTTTCATTTGGTATTGAGTTTTGAACAGATATTAACTTTTCAATAATATGATCATTTTTTTCTGTAAAAAGATCTATAGAAGAAACAGCAATATTAAAAATGTCCCATAAATTTTCATATGGTGTTAAATTTCCTTCATTATCTGTGAAAAATTTATGCCATTCTTTTTGCCATTTTTTTATGTCTTTCGAAGACTTTGATAAAATATTGATTAACTGTTTGATCATTGTACGTTCAGCATTTTGAAGGCAAATATCTGCATTTATTCATAAAAGAATATTTTACTTAAACAGATACGAAAAATAATTGTTTATATTTACTATTTTCTTGTAGTGTACATGCAGCTTCATAATTCAAAACTTTCTCTTCATTAGAAGTTTTATTTGTAAATGTAGAGAATTGTTTCTTCATTGAACTTGATCTGGCCATTATTTTCCTGTTGTTTAAGATTCAAAAGTGCTATAATATTATGTTACTGACTGGTTTTCTTCGCAAGAAAAATAACTATATATATATGTCATTCGTCATAAAAAAGAAACCCACTGTGAGTTGATAAGATTTGAGAATTTCCAACAAAAAAAAACTGCGAAGATTGAATTAAAACAACATCGAAATGAAAAAACTCAATTTTTTTCCACATTAAGCAAATAATAGATTATGTTCGTAAATATGACACTTTTATTAGTTTTTCTTCCTCTTCAAGGTAATCTCATCTATAGAAATCGTGACATTCTATACGTTAAGAAAACAAATTCAATTTAATCATCATATAATTGTTGGAGAATTCCAGCGAATATTTGAGGGTGTGGATGCGGGTGTGGCTTGGTGTGGATGTGGGTGTGGGTGTGGGTATGGGTGTAGGTGTGGGTGCTCGTGCCATATATCGAGAGCAGCTACACCCATACCCACCAACCTAAACCCACACCCACCCACACCCACACCCCACACCCACACCCGCATTCTCATTCGCATTGATGAACCAGCATCCAAATTTTAGGTATGGCAATATATCGAGTCATCTGTTAGGAAAAAAGTCAAAACCACCGCTCCCATCCTGAAAAAAACGTCATTTTGAGGATGTATGTGTCCATGTAGGTGTGGGTTTGAGTAAAAAAGGAGAACTACACTGACGATCCATATTAATCATAAGCTAGTAGTTATTCCCGATGTTCTTTTTTTCAATACGATTTCACTTTCTGAAAGAGTTTTTCTTTCGATATTTTTTCGAGATTCAGAAAGAATGCTTTTCTTTTCACTTGTTCAAGAGAATATCTCATCAAACAGTACATATATCGAAAGAATGTATTTTGTATATGTTGAAATGCATTTATTTGATAATCGTTTCAGTATAATAGTCTTTGTACTTCATTAAATATATGACTGAATAGTTTAGAATGAATCATTATTATAAGTCTGATAAAATACATTGATATTAGATGAATAATAACATTTCTTTAAATTGAATACGAGGGATACACATTTGAATAATATCAGTGATTTTACTAGTCTTGCTCAATTTGTTTTTCATTGACAAAAATAAAACAGATTGATGCGGTAATGATCAAAGTAAGCACAACTTTACTTCTCTTCTTTTGTAATCATTTTAGCAATAATTGTTATTTCTTTATATTTCGATAGATGTTTACTAGTTTGTCTTGGTTATCGAGATGAACAAAGGGTGTGGGTGTGGGTGTGAGTTTCTTTTTTTGACTTACAGCCGCCCACACCCACACCCTCAATATTAAGAGGTATAGTATTTTATTTTGCTCATTAGAATTAATAATATTTAGTTAGATAAAACTTAATTCATCTTTGTCTTTTTTTTAAATTAAAGATGATTTAATTCTTCGTGATCTTCTTACCAAACAAATAATACATCTTAATATTGATATTAAAGAGACAACAAAACATTGCTCACAAACTTCTTCAAAAATTTTTTGCATTAATCTTATCTTTATGTAAAAAATTAATCGTTTTGAATTTTTGTGATATATTTCCTACAGGAAAGTATTGGGGTACACGTTTTTATCTACTATGGGAAAATTATATACCTTCAACTTTGATCAAATTGAAAATCAATGTCGCAACTTTAACTGATTGTCTTTATCTGCTTGATGGACCTCTCGTTTGTTTATCAACATTAATTATTAATGTGTTAGATATTTTTCATCCATTCAAAGATATAGATCCAAAAGTAAGTATAATTTCAATGATCATGTTTAGAGAAAAAAGAACACAAAACTAAATAAATAAATATTTTTAATTTTTTCTTCTTTATAGAAAAAACTTCCCAAATTGAAATGTTTTTCATTCACCACATTTGATTACACATTTGAATATGATGCTCTAATTGTTCCATTACTTTGTCGAATGATAACTAATTTCTTATTTATATGACACATTTAAACAAATTCACATTTAATATCAAGAGCAAGATCTATAGCGATAATGTTAGAATTGAACTTCCATCGAATGAAGATATTCAACGTAGTTTCATTGAAAGAGGCTATCAAAAAGTAGCTTCATATGTTAATATTAACTCATTTACATGCAAAGGCGAATGCCATATCTATTCACTTCCGTATAACTTCGAATATTTTGTTGATCTCAAGAATTCGTTTCAAAGTGGCATATTTCATAAAGTTCGATAATTAAAGATGAGTGATAGAATTTCTTTTGAACATAAATTATTTAAACTCATCTCTCAAGACTTTTCTTTTCTCGAATTCTTACATGTATCTAATGATGATCCACAAAAAGACAAGCAACATTAATCACATTTCCTTATCTCACATTTCTTGAGCTGAAATATGCATATGTTGACTATGCTGAATTATTTCTTTTGGAAAAAAATATGCATCTACCTCGTTTGATCAATCTGTGCATGAAATACAAATCACTTATAACAATAACAAACAATTTTACCAATGGTGCAACACATTTTAATTTCGGTAAATTGAAAAGTCTTGATGTATGCCAACCATTTGTTCGTCTAAAAAATTTTCGCCAATATTTTCCTTTATTATGAATTGTTTCAATAAAATAAAATATGTGAAGAAAACTAAATATATTTCATTTATATTATACTGCAACAAAGATGGGAAATCGTATCAAACGAATAGGCATGTTTACGATTGAATACGAACGATTCTATTTCGAAAAGTATTTCTAGTCTATTCTATCCAATTCCTTTTCCTGTCAGTATAGTGAGTAATATTGAATATCAATCGAAAAGTTGAACTTGAAAAAGTAGACATTATCATATTCATTACTATGAAAACTCTTTCAATGAATATCAACTCATTTCTAAAGAGCACTATCGCTTGAGCATTTTAATATCCGTATGATTCATTATCTATTGTCAGCTGCAATATATTAAATCAGATGTGGAAGCAGAATTGTAGCGAAATTTTCCTGTAGTGATTTGTCAGACTCCAAATGACTCAGACTTTTGTCGTCAGATTTGAAAGTTGTTTATGCACTTGGTTATATAGTTTTGATGCATTGATCTCTGTACTATATGGGTGTGGGTGAGGATTGGTATGGGTGTGGATGTGTGGGTGTTTGGATAAAAGGAAGATACACCCATCCCACACACTTTCATTCTATGATTGAATATGTATAAAAAAAGCAGTTCAAATTATCATTAATTCGACAATGGTTTCACATTGAATGAACGTAAAGTCAAACAGACTTCAATTCGACTTTTCTTTTTGAATTTTGTTGGTTTTATACTTTCAAAAATACATAGACCGGTTCTGGCGCTCTCTCAAATACGGAACTTATGTTGACGTACCGGTCTGAGTAGAAGATACACCATGTTTGTTCAGTGTATATCCTATCAATGGAATGAGTATCTAAGCTCGAGATGGATATGTCTCCAATGAAAGACAAACCTAACTCTTGCTTCTTGTCTGTTTCAGCAGTCGTTCAAGATGAACGAGTATGAAAGTTTATATAAGCACATCCACATGTTACAATTATACAGTTTACTTAGGTAGTTTCATGCCGATATACACAACAACGAGAATGATAGATCAGTTAGATATTCACAATTAGAATGATGAGATAATCATATAAAAGACATGGAAAAAGTCGTATGATGGGGCTAAAGAGTATTCAAAAATAGAGATTTTATTATTAGAGATTTTTAAATCAATCATAGCGTATATAATATATAATAATTAGTGGGGATACATGATTTTATCATCCAGATTCAAGGATAAAAGGGATATGAAATGTTTAGATGCCTTAAAACTGATTCATTATCAACCAAATTTCATTTAAAATAATTAGATATATCATTGATCGATACTTGCTTCATGTAATCTAATTTGATAACTGAATAGATTATACGAACAAACCAGAAACAAGCAAGAAAACCGATTGCACCTAAATAAAATTTAATTAAATAGATTATACAAGAATATTTAACTTACCGGTAAATAAAAATAAAATAAATGTTAGCATTAATGTATAACCAAAATAAAGAAATGTTGATACTCCATCAGATATTTCTAATTTAGTCGCAAAATAAAAACCTGAATAGAGAAAGAAATACACAGCCGTAGAACCCGATGTTAAAAATGAACGCCACCACCAATTATAATCCTATAAAAATCAAAAATTTAAGTTTTTTTTTTTTTCAAATAAAATCAAATTTTACCTCAGTACATAAATGAAAATAGCAAAGACAAATTGTTATTTCCAAACATGTAATTATAAGAATTATATATACGACAAGTAAAAATCCAAAATAATGATAATATTGATGAGCCCTAAATTCATCTATATACATCTAATAAATATCAAAAAAAGAATAAAAATATTTACCAAATACTGTTTAAGATGAAAAACAGTTGAATAAAAATACAACCAAATGAAAGAATACCACTCGCTAAGATACTTAATAATGGTTTAGTGTAAAAAGGCTGTTCAGGTACTTCTCGTGGAATTTGATTAATTGGAACAGGATTATTATAAACCTTAATTTTAAGAGAAATTAGATCAAAAAAAATATTTTTCATTCTTACTGAACGTTTGAAACCAAGATAAGCTCCAATGAATACTAATGGGGTTGATATGCAGAACCAAAGAGCAAGTAATGCTAAAAATGTAGTACATGGAATAGTTGCTGAACTAACATTTAGCCAAAGAACAAGATTTAAAACAAACAAAATGACAAAAATTAAGCTGAAATAAACAAAGAAATAATTTCTTTTTAGAAAAAACCAAACGATTTAAATGTTACCTTGGACATGTAATAGCTGTTGTTAGAGCAATTTTCTTCCAATTTGCACCGCCAAACACTATGAAATATCAATTAATCATTTATAATAAATATTGTCTCCTACTTTTATATAAACGAGCTGAAGTATAACCAGCTGGAGTACCCAAAAGAACATAACATAGGATAAGACCTTAATGATTCAAATGAAATAGACAGGAAGAAAACGAATGAAATAAAATACATACAAGTCAGTAAAGCACCAGGTTTGTCTGGTGAGAGAAAATCAAGTGCAGCGAAGACTAAATAAACAAATTTTGAAAAAAAATTGAAAATAAACAAAACTATCTACCTAATGTGATTAAAAATGTCATTGCAATTTGAACGCCATTACCAACAAGAGTAGACAAAAGTATATCTTTTTGTGGTGGACGAAATACATCACCATCAATTCTATCATTTGAAAAGAAAATAGAATAAAAATAAAAATAACATAAGATTTGATAAAGAATAGATCAACATTCAATCTTCTTTGAATAAATTGTAACTGTAACTAACCTGAACATTTATTTTCGATATCTTAACGATTAGATCGTCATATCACTAATCAAAATCTTGAAGAACTTTTGATTATGAGTTGTTTATAAACAAGAGATTCTTGAAAATTCAACGAAAAGAGTTTGAAACGAAATTTTACTCATTAACTGATGTCATTTTTCTTATTGAAATTCGAAAGTAATTTTGAAGATGTAGATATTATCTCTTTCTTATTTGTATTCAGCGACTAACATACCTTAAATTATTCATATTAGATCTTCTTATTTACTTGCGACATATATTTAATACCTGATCGTTTTACTAAAAGATTTTCGAACATTTTAATAACTATGAGATCTACATATAGACAAAGTGTTAGCTTTAAATTTTTTTTTTCTATTTCTGAGAAGTTCTTTGCTGAATGATGAAAATCGATATAAAAGATGATAAGTAGTCTGAATTGAAAGTATATAGTTAAGTGATGTATTAGTGCAAAAAGTCAGTAGTTTGGAAGATAATAAATCTACGAATCTTCGTATTCGAAATATTTCGCTATACAGAAAGTACATAACCTCAACAACAATGTCACAAAACTGACTTGTATGCAATACATGAGCAAAATAAAGACATGAAATAGATAAATCCTTACAGTTTCCATCCAAATTGTTCTTTTGTACTACCCTATATAAAAATAAAACAATCATAAATATAGACTTAATTTATTCAACTTACAGTACCAACTATTCGACTATAACGCGGATTATCTTTACATAATGTACGTAAAAGAATGATAGCAACTATACCCGAAAGAAATAATACAACGACAAGCGAATTTAAAATTGAAAACCATTGAATACGTGTTTGTGGTAATGATTTCAATATATAATCCCATCGACTAGCCCAATATATTTCATTAGTTTTTATAAATTTTACACTGTATGTAAATGGAATTTCAATATCTTTGCTTGTCGATTGAAACATAACTGGTCCAGTCGTACGATCACATCTATTTGAATTGAGACTAAAAAATAAAATTTATAAATAGATAAGATGACTAATTTTATTCAACAAACCTATTAACTTGTATTTTCGCTGAAATAATTCGACTACTATCTTCGCCAAATGTACTTTTCCATGTTTCATCTTTAAAAAAAAAATCAACTAATCAAAATATAATAGTTATTATGATAAGTTATTTCAAAATCCAAATGATTAAATATATAAAATGTATCATTTTTTCCATCACGAATATTACACGATTTTTTTGTTTGACCACTTTTACTTACATAACAGCCAATTGGAAAACTACGAGAACAAAATTCTAGATTTTCAGTATTTTTATAACATAATGTAATAGGCATATTATCAAGTATCCAGTGTTGTTGATAATTTAAAATTATTCCTTTCATTAAACGTTTAAGCATTTTTTGTTGATTAGCATCAGTTGATGTAAATTTCTTTGTACATACATAACGACAGTTATAATTTATAAGAAAATTAAACTAGGAAAAAGAAATTCGATTGATTTAAATATAGAATTGAATTGATTACTAACTTTATATGGTGATGGTTGAATTCGTTCACCAATAAGAACTTGACCAAGATTTTCAATTGGTGATGGTTCATCATTAACAGTACAGAAAGGAAAACTTATTTTTTTGAGAATTAAATAAAAGAAAAAAAAAATGATATATTAACTCACTAAGAATATTCATATGATAATACAGATTCAAATGAATTGAGACGATTGACATATACTTCAACTTCAGTCTAAAATTATATTTTATAACAAATAAAATTTTTCGTCGTTTTAACAAACTTTGCATTTTGACCCTGGCAATGGAAATCGACAGTATTCAGTAGGTGCCAATTCTGGTAGATTAAATGCATTGATTGATGATGATAATAATAGGATTAATAAAAAGAAATTTGAATTTCTTATCGCCATATTAATAATATTTTTCTTTGAATTGAAGAAAATAATTCATAAATATATTTTTTTAAATAAATTATTTTGAAAAAAAAAGAAGACTATTGATGAAATGAGTGTAAAGATAAAAAAAAAATTAAAATCAAAGCATTTCTCAAGAAAAAAAAATCAACTCGCTTTGTCCTCTCTTTTTCTCTTTCAACTCTAAAAAACTAAGATACGTCAAGAGTATTATACTATGTTTGTTTTGCTGAAATGTCTAAAATCGGTTATCCATTGACACTCGATATGTCTAACTGAGACACATAATGCATCTTTTTTTTTAGACATGTGATATATTCTAGCTAATATGTTAAATATCAATGGATATTTCAATCTTAAGCACTCTAGGAAAACTAGACGAATGAAGCATCTTGTAAGACACGTAGCATTTTTTTATGATGTCAATCTGTACACATAATATATACAACTCTTTTCAATTGTCGAATCTCCACGAAGTACAGATGACAAGAGGTGAAAAGGAAGTAAAAGTGCATTGGAAAAAAAAGCAAAGAATAAGAGGAATGAAAAAAAAAAAGAGTCCAACAGAAGCAAGGTAAATATACTCTATTGCGTATATTGCATCTGATAGACGTGTTTTTTTTTCTCATCTCTTTTTATTAATTAAAACTATAAAAAAACACTATTAGGAGAGCATTTTTTTCGACTTATATTTAATTGAGCAATAAAATAACTTAAATGAGCAATAATTATGTTGAATAAACAGTAGTTCATTTTAATAAAAAATAGGTTGTATATAAAAAGGACAATATTGATTCATTTATTTACACAAATAGGTATTTTTTCAGTTCTATGAAATAGAATATATAATTTATGCAAATAGCTCAATCTTCAAGCGTAGCGCAATATGGGTGTGGGTGTGGATGGGTTCAGTTGACATAGGTGTTGTATATCAGTATTTTTTTCACCCATACCGACATCTACCCTGCAGTTTTTCTATTTTTTGTTGCTAAAATATGAAGTTACTACTGCTATTTAATGAGTTATTTATTGTTCATTTAATATTATAAAATTGCTCAAAAATTATTGCTAAACTATATTCGAATTATTGCTCATTCCAATATTTTTATTGTTCAAATAAATACAAGCCATTTTTTTCAATGTGCTTCCGCTTTTTTTTTGCTAAAGTTATGCACAACTAATCTGTAGAATAAAAAAAAAGCATTGATGTGCCATGTCTCAACGGAAAATAGTTACCTAAACAAAATAAATAGAATGCCATCAGACAAATCAATAAATATAAAAAGGACTAACATCCACTGATACGTCTATTCAAGCCACCAATCATTGAAAAGCTCATGTGACACTGTCAACATAATAGATTTTTTTCCCGATAACTATATAATATTGATCAGCGGCGTAGCCAAGGGACGGGCCAATGGGCAATTGCTCATTTCATTTGGAGATTTGCCCATTGAAATTTTACTTTTTCAGAAGGGTTTATTTATTTTTGAATTAAATAGTAGCTATTTTTTTCTTCCGTCTGAATCACACATGCACTTTTTGCTTGTGCTTTCTGTAAATAATTAAGAAAAGAAGAAGGAAAGAATCGTTTCTAATTCCCTAGACTGAAAGGATAGGGTCTAAAAACCGAAATTCACCTGTGTCTGTCTGTCTGTCTGAAACATAGTTACCATATGGTAACTATGATCGTCAAAATAATATATATTTCGAATAGCGCCAAAAGGTAATAATATTTGTTCTATTATCGAATATTGAAAAAATCAAAACGAAGAACGAATCTGCAAGTTCTTACTATTCAGTTCTTTTATTACTATACAAGTTGTAATAATAACAATTAATTGTACTGAATGTTTCTTATAATTTAATTATGATATTACGGAATAATAAACGATGAAAAATTTAACGAACATCATTTTTTTTTCTGCGAAATTAAGAGATATAATTTTTATTTTTGTTTTTGCTTTTATTTATTCGGCTCAATAAAATGTAATTTTGGAAAAAAACTGTAATAATTAATATATTGTCAATGAAAAACAACGTACATAATAACAATGACAATATTGTTGAACAATTAATGTTTAAATATTTTGAACATTAAAGGGTGTGGGTGTGTGTTCAGAAGAAAGAACAGGCACACCCACCCACTCCCACACCCACACCCACATCCATACCCACACCCAAATATTGTTTTTTTTATTTTAATTTTTATGTATAGGAGTGTGGGTGTGTGTGGGCGTGGGTGTAGTTGTGGGATGGGTGTGGGTATGGGGTGTGGGTGGGTGTAGGTGTGGGTGTGGGGTGGGTGTGGGTGTGCGTGTGAGTGTGGGTGGATGTGGGTGTGGGTTTGGCTGTGTTTGTGGGTGTGGGTGAAGATCTACTCTTCATGTCCACACTCACGCACACCCGCAGCCACCCACACCCACACCCTCTCCAACAAAAGATCATCCAGCATTCCAAAATGTTCACACGATCTTTTCATATGGCATGAAAAAAGGTTCATTAAGAAAAACGTAGAGCTCAATGCTATCAGATACTTTTCATTTTCATTCTCAACAAACTAGAAATCGAACCATCAACAAAAAAAGCGGAACTTATACATATCATTTCATATATTGTCAGGTTCGTCCAACTTCTGCTTCTTCACTCACAAACTTTTCATCAACTTTCAACATAAATATTCTTCCCTCTATTTGATTTAAATCGACTTAGGGACTACTAAAGCCGCCTGATGAGACTCGCAGCTGAATCGAAACCGATCGCGATAGCTTTCTACATATTCACACCTACACTCGCACGCACAACCACACTCACACCCACACCTCTATGGACAGGTAAGAATAGGGCATAATTGGCATTGGTCGGAAGGAATCAAAGGGTTTCGAACATATATTGAATTTGGCATCAAAAGGTTCGCCGTAAAATTTTGCATCAGAAAATAAACTTCTTATATGAATCGGTTCGTCGGCCGATTCCTGTTTTTATGCGCCCCTGTCCTTATTGATTTACGTACATCATGTATTGTTTTGATTTTTCAATATGATGATCTACCCAATATGAAATATTTTTCATTGAAAATTAATCATTTAAGTTATGCATATGATACTCAAATTATTCCTCTGCTTCATCGGATATGTAATCTTGAGGAATTAACCTTATATTTTTTTGTATATACAATCGAATTAGATATGTCGATGGTATTCAACTTCAAAATGACATTGTTATTCATTTTTAATAACTTCGTATATTCGTCTTTTATATTAGTACCGAAATTCGTGCGGAACAACCTGTTTCATCTTTATCAAATGACGATATTCAAGGAACTTTTACTAATCTTAAATATAGACAACTGAGTTGTTTTATAGATTATTGCAAATCTGGCTGTACTGTAATTCATGATTTTTTTAATTTCCATTCTCCTTTGATCGTCTAAAAACTATACGCAATAACTTTCCAAATATTATATTCAATAATATTACTTTCTTATTGATAATAGGCTCAATTCCATTCATACACATAGTTTTCGTTAGATTTACTCAATCGTATCCATTGCCAAAGGGGGAAGTGCAGATTTGGAACGCCTAGCATCTCAGCACCTTTTCGATGCTGAAACTTAGTTCAATCATATGAAAGTGATTCACAGAAACCAACTTTATTTTCAATAATAAACACGATGATTGGCTTCAAACACACACATAATGTGAAAATATGAGTTTCTACAAAGAATGCGTATTAAAAAATATTTCATAATACCGAATAGAACAATAAAACACTATTTCGAATCGAAAATTTGTCATTTTTTTTGTTCTTCCACACGTACTAATCACCTCTATTATTATTCCATCGTGATAACTCATATAAATCAAAATATTAAATAAATGCAAGCTTTGACATGCATGATTCAATCTGAAAGATCTGAAGAGAAAAAAAAATGATGAAGAAGCAACAAAAGTCGAACCTGAAGATTTTTCTAATGATTCAATTGTTCATGTCAGTTTTGATAATGAAAAAGATGACAATAACTGAAATCATACGAAATAACAAAAAAAAAAAAATTTCATTTCAACTTGTTTTCTACTAAAGAGTATTTCGTTATGATGGTTCAATTCGTTTTCATATAACTGCACCATCACAATCACAATATGGTCAATTAACACGTGATCAATCAATAATCCGTAGATTTCTATCGACTTTATTGACATTTTTCAAACTAAATTATGATTGTTATCATAATGATAGTGGAAAGTTTAATCTTTTTTTTAAATGTAAACCAGAAAAACTTCCACATGGCTAGTCTATATTTGCTAAAGTTGAACTAACTCTTTTACATGCTATTGATCCAAATAAAAATTTTGTGGAAAGTAAATGTATATTGTGAAAATCAGGAAATCTATCATGAATTCATACATGGACAAGATATAATATAATTCTAATCGAAGCAATAATTCATGCTGAAGCTCCACGTAATGTGGAGTAAGCTGAGAATTGTTTTTTTTTGTAAAAAAGATCTGAATATATTTAATTGTAGTGGGATTCAGAAGGATAATGTGGTTTTGTTGGTTTCAGAAACATTGGTGCAACTTGTGATATGAATTCACTTTTAAAAATAATTTATTTTACTAAAAAAACTACGAAAGGTTTGTTGAATTTCATCTTAAACGGTTTAGATTGCTCATTCAATTCAGAGTGATTCGTTTCATTTAAACTCGAAAAATTTGTCTAGATTAAATTATTACTATAGTTGATATTGACAATTTGTTTGTATTTAGGCTGTCTATGCACTGTCAACGGGTAGTGATGATCAAGTACATTGCGTTCCACTTGTCTTACAAAAAATTTCTTATGATCTACAATTTACTGATCGATCAGTTAATACAAAGAAATTGACACGTTCATTTGAGTATACTGTAGTTTCTTTTTAAAGAATTCATAAAAAAACTTTATTTTTTTTTGTCTGGATGAAACAAACCAGATGAATTTTGTCAACATGATATACAAGAGTTTTGTCGAGTGGTATGTTGGAGAAGAGTATCAGGTCGCTTTATTATTATTTTGTTTTGTTGTTACTTGATAAATTGAAATTAAAAATGAAAGATATTATTTCATTGTTATTCCAAGGACAATATGTGGTATATTATCTTGTCATATAAATTATTTGACTATAGATAAACATTAAAAAAAATTTTTCTTCATTTATAAAGCAATATGTTCGGTGTACAATAGTTGATCAGAAATCTCTAGTAAAACAAACACTTTATCACGTTCCATTACAAGTACGAAACAATGCAAATAGTGAGTAATTAATGTACGTATTATAAAACGTTAATTTTATTTTTAAATTAGTAATTGAAAGTTGTTGAGATTTTTGTAAAAGTGAAATATTAACAAGTGAAAACTGATATGATGTTGGAAGTATTCGTGATTGACAGATTTATTTAGTAAAATAAATAATTGATTTGATATTATTTTTTAAATTAACACACTTTAACTTTAAAAAAATCAAAGTTTAAGAAGTTCCCTTATCGAATAACGGAAAATTTCGTTAGGAAAAAATTATCTTTCGAACATAGCGATATTTTCAAGTGCATAAATTTTCCGGTATTACATGAGATAACTACTTTAACTTTGTTTTCTTTGATGTTAAAGAATTAAAGTATCTCACATTAACTTTTAAAACAAAGTAAAAGTGTTAACTCTAGTGCCGCTTCTATTTATGATATTTCAACATAATTATATTAAAAACTATAGCTTAAAAACTTCACAAAACTTCATGAAACTTTAAGACTGAAGTCTTTGCTGTTTTTTCCTTGTTGTTTAGTCAGAATGCGGGTGAGGATCAAGATAGAATGAATTACTATATCTATATCCATCCTATTTCGTTATGAAATACAAATGTAGAAAAATGTTATGAAATGAACTAATTCTTACATGTTATTTAACATGTAACTCTGAACCAACTTGTATATTTAATTCTGAAGTTTTTACTTGTCTGTCGTTACGTGTTATTTCTATTCGTAAATCTTTAGTCTTATAAAATACGAATGCAGTATCTACAGCCACTATGAGTACAGCTGCAGCCAGGTAGATGCGAATTAACATTCCAGTTAAAGTCTTCCATCCTAGAAATTGTTCTGCAAATGCCGATGAAAAAAATGATATCGATATGCTAAACATCAATATGGCTTCATACAGCGAATGAGTTTTTGTTTTTTCTTCTGGGCAGTATGATTTTGTGAATAGAACTGATGATCCGACATAGCCTAAATTCCATCCAATGCCAACAACAATCAAACCCATATCAAAATAGATCATTTCAAAACCACATGGAAACAAAAATGTACCCACAAATTGGATCAAAAGTCCAGTGAGCATAACCAGTCGGCTTCCAAACCAGTTACATAGAGTTCCAGTAAAAAATGATGGTACAAACATTCCCAATATATGGTACTCAACAGCTGCTATCACTTGAGGAAAAGTATGTCCAGAACCAATCATTGTCAGCGCTGCAGCCGACATTTGAATACCCATCGCTGACCATGAAACAAAACCACCAAGAGCAGCAATCACAAATGTTCGTTGTGCCAACTATCGTAAAGATTGAACGGCCATTTGAACTAAGATTTCTGTTCATGATTGTAGGTAACGAGGTCGATTCTATTGCATTGTGCGTTTTTTTAACATCGGGAAATTGGATTATTCTCATGATGAATAACAGTACCGCACATTCACGCAATGCTGCTAAATAAGCACCACTGTATTGCTTTGGAAGTACATTGATCATAAGTTTGGCTATTTCTGGCCTACAACAACATAAAAATAATATTTATGAATAGAAGAGAAACTGTGTGGCACTTCTATCTCATATTCTCAAATAAGCAACCATATTTTAGAATAGTGATTACGGCAGATAATCGTAATTTAGAATCTATGTTTTCAGTATTATTCTTCCAAAATAAAGAGAAGAGTTTCATGAAATAATAATTATAACACTTATGAACGTACCCAATAAAAGCAGAAAGACAACCGCCAGCAGTGACCATTGCAATGGCTTTTGAAGCAAATTCTTGTGTTGAAAATTGTAATCCTGCCAGACGATAGTAGAATGTACATGGTACTTGTCCACCAACAAATGTAGCACTCACTATTAGTAACCAATAGAGTTTAAACCATGCTGCTATAATACAAAGTCCAGCTCCAATCATACTCATCAGAGTACCGAAATAAAATGGAGGTCGATAGCCGTAACGAGCAATAACTCGTGGTAAAAATACAGACCAAATAGTAGCAGCAAAGAGCATAGAACCAAGAGGAATTGTTGCCAGATACCAGTTGGTAAAACTTGTAGCTGCTAGAGTAGTTATACTTATTTGAATGAAAAAAATACCTTGACCGAGACTCCACGACAATGCCAATAATAGAATATTCCATAACATTTTATGAAATAGAGGATTAGTCCAATGAATATAAAGCTTTCGTAATGGTCGAAACAACGATATTTTAATACCGTTTTGGTTCTCTTGTTGTGCAGCATCGATTGAGTCATCATTTTCTCTTGAATTAGATTCTTTCGAGACTGAATAAAAATAAACACTGATCAAGCGTATCTAATAATTGAAATGTGTTTATTTGTTATTCATTGTTTTCTCATTTGTCTATTGTCCGAGAAAAAAACACAATGAAACTTTCTTGTGCTGTGCTACTCAACTGAATGAATGGGGTTAACCTCAGATCAATAGAGTTTTGTAGAAACCGATAAGTATGTTATATTTGTTAAGCCACTACTTCATAGTCACAGATAACAATGTACTTTTGCTATTTTCCAATACAAGAAGATGCTTCAAGTTTAACTAATGATTATGCTGCACATAAACAAAAGGAAAATCACTGAAAATAGTTGTGGTCAAATGGTTTCAAATGTTGGATATGCTGATGATAGTTGATTATTTCGAAACTCGAATTATTTTCTAGAGAATCTCTCAAAACTCAACAAAGGCTTGATATCTTTTTTCTCTGGAATTTAATTTCACTACAGAAAAGAGCATAAAAATATTACGTCTATTGATAAACTTTCACACGTTAACATTCCAAAATCGAAGTCAAACACTCTTTGACGTTTCAAGATAAAAAGACATTAAAAGCAGCACTAATACTTCGCAGTTAATATATGGTTCAATTCAACAAAGTTTTCTATTAACGGAAGCTTTAGCGTTCGTCCCTGTTTCATTTACGACTGAGCTTTCTCAAGCACAAGCTAAATATTGCGTTGATGAAGTACGTCTACTCTGATGATAATGACACTCCATGTACGTTAAAAATTGACATGAGAACGTCATTATTAGTGTTAGAATAATCATTTTTGCCACTGACTACATCATAAAACCTATCAGAGATGGAGTAATCAACTTTAAATATAGTCTAGGATGATAAACGGGAAACGATTAGTTCAAATTACGGCTAAAGAACGACGTTTGTATGGTATGTTGTGATTTTCTGAAATCACTTAGTAAAAAAACCAAAAGACTCCTAACACAAATGTCGAAGGTTCGTATCACAAAGCGAACATAAACTACAAATGGTTACTCGTTTCTGGTAGCCAGAAAAAGAACGTTCTTTCCTAAAAAGCTGTTTAAAATCGCGTTGTGAAACATTGCAACTTTAGCTGGTAATGAGAGTATCACTGGAAGCAGATCATTCGTGAGGTTTATAAATAACTGCCGAGAAACACGACCACAGTTTCTGCCGACGCCCATCCATCTAACAAATAGTTTAATTTTTGTGATTTATTCATACTGCCAATAGTTAAATCAGCAGTGTCTCGTAGCATAATTCTTCTCAACATACATTTATCTCACTCTTGAATAAAGAATGTCCTACATGATGAGACCAACCAATAGAATAAAACTACTATATCGATTATCGATGATTTATCGCCACTTATCGATGAGTCATAGTACGAGTCTTAGTAAACTTCAAGTATAATTTCGTACGCTGTCTTTCTTCAAACATATTCACAAGACCACTTTTGATGAATTCAATCAATTAGTTCGGTGAGAAAAGGACATGTTGCAAAATGGAGTTATTATCAAGTCGAAAGTTATTATCTGTTTTGTACTCTATACTGGTGAGCTGATCTGATTATAACCTTAGTCTCCCTTTGAGCTTCTGGTTAGTGGCGTAACCAGGGGTGGCCATGGAGGCTAAGCCACTCCACCGGAGGCTTGAGCCGCCCCCCCCCCCCCCACCGTCAAAATTCTGGTTTCGCCGCTACTTCTGGCAATGTATCATGACAGAAGCCATCGCCATGAGTGAATATAATAATTGACTGCAGTTTCTTAGCTATACCTGTTGTTGATATTACATTGTGATAAGAGTCATCGCTGCTGATCGATTTGTTGACCGGATTCATCGAGCTATCTGCGAAATCCAACTCCACGACGTTTGTCGACGAATTCATCTAAAAATGTGACGAACAAATAACACATCACTCCCTTATATCTCTCTTTTTTTGTTCTATCGCGTGATGGACCGATGCTGCGTTGCAAAAACGAAAGTTGTTTTACCTGATCCAAAACATAATTCTGTGTCATTGATAAAACATTTTTTGTGTTTTACTTTTGATATCACTAAAACATACTGAATTATTTTAGATTCTTATTTGTTGATGTCATTGTCCCTGTTGTGTATGGCATATGCAAGAAAGCATGATAGCGTTATTTGTGATGGAGTTATACAAAACAAAATTTTGTTTCGAATTACATGCAAAACTTCAATCCATTAAATTGATGTTGAACTATCATTCATTTTTTTTTTGAAAGTAACTTTTTGATCTGAAAACGTCTTCTAACACGATTTCTAAGAGAATGTGTGGGTATGAATGAAGTAAGCACTTATAGGTATCCCATGAATCATACGTAATTTTCGAAGATCGTAGAAAGTGAACCAACAATGAGAGTCAAAGAAACATGGTTCATTTCATATACAAAAAAATGAGTCAATTAAGTTGGAATTCGTACTTTATCATGATCTACCCATTTTATTCCCTCCTTCTAACAATGCTACTGGAATGTTATAAACCTGATAGCTAGCCTAGATGCGTATAATGTTTCGAGGAATACCTCGACATTATACTGGCAACTTTTTGGAAGCCAACTGAACATCCTACCTATAAATTTTGAAGGTCTACCTGAAGATATTATCTGTAATTTTTCTAGAACCACCTGAACGTGATTTCTGCAACATGTTAGGGGCTACCTAGGCATAGTAACTGTAATGATTTTACGGCTATCTAGAGGTCAAACATGTGACTTTTGGCAGTGGTGTCCAACTTGAAAGTTAAATTCAATTGAACAACTACTCTTCGCTTTTCAACTTTAAAGCTTCAACGTATCAATTTTCAGGTCTCAAAATTCAACGAGACAGATATCCTGTGTGTGTGTTTTCGTGATACCCTCATCGAGAGATACCCTGTGTTAGAATAGTTAAAATTGGGAAACTGCAGTTCAATTTTTTCAAGTTTTAACTATTCTTCAATTCAATTCAAGTTTCAAGTTTGACATATATAAATTCTATAGGAGCTAGATAATATCGAGTTTTGAGTCAGCCACGTGCAACCTTTATGTAGTCTAACGATCTGATTCGAACAGTAATTGACTCATGACGTCCAAATTGGCTGTTGGGAAAGTATAAAATTCAATTTCAAGAAGGGACATATTTCATCACTTAACGACACTCCATCCTTTATAGCAAGGGATAACTGCATCACTATTTGAACAAGTCAACGAAATTAGATACATGAAATTTCAATTGTTCAAATTGGCATACACCTTTTGCTAAAAAAATTCAATTATCTTAGTAGTCTATTAAATACTAGGATATCCTTCGTATGTCTCATATGTCCCCAATGTTCCACAAGATAGTAAATTTCTATTTCTAGAAAATTGAAATGCAATGACTATAAGAAAAATTGAGAAAGTTTCAACTCGTCACGTGATGAGTTGAACAAACAGCAAAAATCAGGGCTTTCGTAACGCCAAAAATAGGGATATCCAAAAAAACAGGGTTGCCGTAATGAAATTTACAGGGCGATCGTAACGATTAATACAGGGAGTTCGTAACAGTTGCAGAGCTTTCGCAACGAAGGGTGTGGGGTGTGGGTGTGGGTGAGTGTGGGTGTGGGTGTGGGTGTGGGGTGTGGGTGTAGGTGTGGAGTGTGGATGTCAGTGTTGGAGTGGGTCTATTATTCTCCCACACCCACACACTCACACTCAGACCCAGATACCCACATTCACACCCACACTCCACACCGTCACCCACACCCTGAGGAAGAAAAACTATGAAATTTTTTTTCTGGGTATTTATTGTTAACCGGAAAATTTAATTTCCACTTAAATATGAATATACGAAAAATAAAGTTAAAAACATAATGTCTTGTACTATAAGAAATATTTACAAAAACGTCTGAAACATAGTAGTAAAAATCAAAGTAAAATAAAGAGTGAAAACTTAAATATCATTTACAAAAATGTGGCCATATGAAACATTTATTATATTATGACTGAGCTTAAATATTATACTTTGATTGAAAATAATAGTTCTGTTCAATAATGTACCTTTTAAAATAGTTTGAGAGACTTTTGTTGATAGATATCATGCTTGTGATGCAAGTCTCTCCATATGGTTTGCATTGTCGAGACGATTCATGATATAGGTTCGGGTGAACTCCAGTGATGCAGTTCAATATCCAAAAATGCGTTCGAAAGAGTCTGGTCTCAATGGAACTAGTACCGAGTTTGAAACCGACGAGAACAGATACTACACTTTGATCGTACCTGAAAAGGTCGAGAAATGATAACTATTTTAATGAAATGAAATCTCAACTGTGATCTTTTGCATACACATTACTCGCTTCATAGAATAAAAAAATATATATATGATCTGTGAGAACAACATAGATATCGTGTCACATAGGTGCACGAATAAAGTTACTTCTTACAACTTATCATGATATTTTCATTTGATCATTATATCTTCTCTTGAACGACAAGATGATGCATTAGTTTTTTCTGCTTGAAATGATGAAACGTTAAAAAGTTGACAAAATGTCATCATAAAAAACGCATGAACTAAAAGCGGTATGTGGTCGACCGAAAATATTTTCAGATTTTACAAGTGATTATCATTGATAAAGTGCCTCTCCAAAATCAAGATTTTTAACACTTACAAATATTGTCGAAAAACTACAAGAACGTTTTCTCAATGGATAAACTAATGCAATAACATTAGATGAAATTATAGAAGAATCTAGTCTTACAATTGATACATCGAATAAACATTTACTTGCTTCTTTTTTCATTTTTTCAAATGAAAAACTTGATATTAAAAAAGTTGATGACATTTACAGATTTGTATATAATCCATCATTTGATTTAAAAGC